TCTCTCTCTCTCTCTCTCTCTCTCTCTCTCTCTCTCTCTCTCTCTCTCTCTCTCTCTCTCTCTCTTGTGCCCCCTCCTCTACTTCCTCCCCCCACCCCCGTTCAGAGGAAAAAGGAAGAAGAAGGGAAAAGAAGAAGAAAGAAGAAGGGAGGAGGAGGAGAAGAAGAAAGAAGGGAAAAGAAGAAGGAAGAAGAAGGAGGGAGGAGGAGAAGAAGGAAGAAGAAGGGAGGAGAAGAAGACGCTTTCTGTGAAAATCGGAAGAAATAAAGCAAACGTATCACATCCCAACGACAAGGCCGTACGAACCTCAAGAGAAGGAAGGCAGCGAGGAGGTAGAGAACGAAGGTGAGAAAAGGGGGCAAGAGAGAATATGAAGCAGAGCCGAAAGAGAGGAGCGGAGAGGAGGGCAGAACACGATAGGATGAAGAAGAGTAATAGAAAGAAACGAAGAGTGAAACAGGGAGAGGAGGAAAGCCAAGCGGAGCTAGAGCAGTGACGCTTTATTGCGTGCTACAGGAAGTCAGGAGGAAGAGAGGAGAGGAAGGAGAGGACGGAGAGGGAGAAGAGGGAGGAGGGGAATGGGGGTGGACTCACCTTACAACGTCGAGCCAGCCAGTGCAGCACCGCACGTCTGCGTGTTGCGCTGCGTGACCTCTCGCGGCAGCAAAGGTCGTCGAGCGGACGTACGGAAGGGCCAGGGCAAGGTGTTAGGCGACGCCGGGGACGGTAGGGGACGGTAGGGATGGGGGGGACGGAAGGCCCAGGGAGAAAAATAATAAAAGGGGGCAAACTCTCTCTGGTGCCCCTCCAAGCTGGAAATTTCCCTTACTACCCTCTAGCAAATTCAGCGATTTTTGTCAGGCTCCCTCCCGCGCTTCTTCGCGCACGCCGCTGCACAACAAACACGAAATTTGCCCATGCGTCGGGCCATAGGCTGCTCGACCTCAATCGCCCTTTGCTCGGTACGCGCGGGAACTTTTGGCCGTCTGCCGTCTGTGGCGCGGCACTGACTGGCCCCCAATTATTTCAAACACACACGCGAGCACGCACACACACACACACACTCACAGAAGGTCGTGGGAGCCCGGGAAAAGAAATTGCCTTGATGCCTGCCGATGAAGTACTGATGGAGAGAGAGAGAGAGAGAGAGAGAGAGAGAGATTGGAAAAAGAAAACAGCAAGGAAAATCAAAGGTCGGGCTGTCGTTCGGTGAAAGACATTGTGAGTGTGATTAGTAATAGTGTCGACACAAATGGGGAGAGGGAGAGAGAGAGAGAGAGAGAGAGAGAGGTGAACATGCCGAAGCTGCAGGTTGACTCCGTCGCGAAAGCTTCGATTTCGCTTCCGGCACATCTCTTCAAACTCGTCCCACATTGTACAAGTTAAACGGTCCAACCGTCTGACCTTGGATTCTCTCTCTCTCTCTCTCTCTCTCTCTCTCTCTCTCTCTCTCTCTCTCTCTCTCTCTCTCTCTCTCTCTCTC